TCATCGCGTATATTTGTAGATATGAATAATTTCCAAAAAGTTAAATTTGGTAGCTGTCCACTTGCTGTGTGTTTAGCTAAATGCATATTGCGAATTAAATCACTGAAGAACTGATTTTATTGTGGCATGTTCTAAAATAAAAAAAAGGCTTAACAAAATGAATGCTAACCACATTCTGGTGAGTAGCACTGTCTTTGCTTTCTTTGTTTTTTCTGATTCCTGTGCCTGCTTGTTTGAGTCTGGTGGTTTGGCTTATTACATAAGAGAGCAGTTATTATAGTTGTTGTACGGGGGCATGTCCCATAACGCCATGTGCCACGTCCTGTGTAGGTCCAATCAGCGCAGCTGTAGTTTCTTACAGAGCACAGAGGGGTGTGATGGTTTAGGCTTTCGCATTGGTATTTGTAGTATGTCGAACAAATCTTTTCTCTTTGTTCTGTGTTGAAGATCTAATGGCAATCTGCTAACAAAAATAAATAAAAATAATTAATTCATAATGACTGGTGCCTCCACATCTGCCTTCCTTCAGTGTTGCAGAATTTTGGATTGTGCCGTTTTAAATGTCTTATACAGTAAATATGCAATATTTGAGTGTCGTAAGAACTATATTTTGAGCAGCATCAGGAATGGTGCTGACGCCAGACTGATTTTTTCACTTCTGTGCTCTGAAGAGTCCTTGTATAAGCACCGTAGTAGAAACGATTTCTAAAAAAATATTTGGAGCCGGAGTCTCCATTCGGCTGCCCTAGGAACACGTCTGTTCACAGATGGTTTGAAACTGTGCTCCAGAGCAATTCTCAATGACATAGGCTTTGAAAATGAATGGGGAAACAATGAGATGTAGACCATAGCATTTCACATGAAGTTTAGCATGCTCGTAAAATAAGCCAGTTGTGTTGTCTCACCCTTATAGCGGCAGTAAGATTTTTTTTTTATTTAAAGTAGCGAGAGTCTTGCAAGGAATGGGCTTGGCTGAGTGCTCTGCTGCTGCTAGATTACAGTATATTGAATATTTGTACTGAATGAGAAACAGGTGGTTGTGTGTTATGGAAAATTCCACTCTAAGTGACAGTCTCCGAAAGAGAGCAAGGGGGGGAGTGAAAGCTCAATTAACTCGGTCTTGCCTAATCTTGCCTGCTTGAGAAGCTATTGATTTTTCTTTCTTTAAAAACGACAGCTGTCACAACCCTCCACACACAGGTGTTAACCATTTTGTGTCATATCATTAACCACACTGGCCACCAGTCTACAGTCATGTCGCCACCGTCTAGGTTGTGGTTCCTCTTTTACTGAAGATGTATGGTTGAATAATGTAGAGACCTGTCTTGTTAATGTATCTTAATAGTTATGACCCATGACACAGAATTAACTTAGCTGTGACGCAGCCCCAAGCTCAGAAGGGACCCACGATAAGCACAGAGTGGTGTTGTGTGTTCCGTGGGCCCTGACAGTCATGAAGGAGGCCAACATTATCACCAGTGTGCCAGACATGTGGAAAAATTGGATGATTGCACTGTGCTTAGAGGTCATTCATTCCGTTACAGGAAAAACGTATCAGAAAGCGCTGTAAACGGGAGCTGTGATGTTTAAGCCTCTGTCTGGCCATAACTTCAAACGCAAAACGCAGCTCACGTTTTGCCGGACCAGTCCCTGTCTCCCCCACTCCCAGTGGTGGAAAGTAACTGGCCTCATTAGTCTGCACTCTTCCTTTATTTTCTACAGTGTCCAGTTCATATCTTGTCCTGTAATGATTAAATTAAACCAGCCTGGCCTCTGAACCAGTGCTGCAGCTGCTGATAACTGCTCTTCTGCGCCCGCAAGACTGTTGTCTTTTATCCCTCCTTACAACATATTTTGCAGAATCTGAACGGGCAGCGGGAGCCTGTTTGGGCTCTGAATTGACCCTTTTTAGCAATGGAGGTGTCAAACCAGCCATCCACTTCAAAGGGTTAACATGGGCAAACGTGTAGTTGCCCGTTTTATCTCACCGATTCAGTTTTTAAAATCATCTAATGTTACTTTCATACAAATCAACACAATTTTAGTTTTTCACAGATGTGAGTAGTCAGAGCTGTGTTACAAAAAAAAGTCTTCCTTCATTTCTGATGGTTGTGACCACAGCAGAAAAGGAATTTATATGTATTCATAGCTGTTGATTACAGCTTCAGAGTCAAAGAAACCCATGTGGTGGAAGACAAATCGCAAAATGAAAAGCTGTGGGCCTACTGACCCTGCAGTGCCTGATTAGGGAAGGGATGAGCACCAGAATATCCAGTCCAGTGGTCCAGTGTGGTGAAAGGGAAGACTGTGCTGTAGGAGATGCCTTCTTTTAGATAGGACCCAGTCCTGACATGGAGTTCTTAACCCAGCTCGATTCCACGTTGGACTTGTGAAATCTGGACTCTTAGATCCTTTAAAATGCAAGCCATTTGTTTTTAAGTGTTTGGGGAGGGTGGTTGGGTTGCTTTATCTACCCCTGAACAGTGTAACTTCACAAACCATAAAAATTGCATAGACTTGCTATTGAATTGTTTCCCAGGTTCCGGGGGTTAACCCAGATATAGGCACTTCATAGCCAAGTGTTACTTCAGCCTGCAGGGACAGTCTTTCTGGATTTGATGTTTCTGACATCCAGCCTGACTCTGAATGGCTGACAGACTATTTGGAATTGAGGGCCATCAGGTGTACAGTATCCTAGTTCATTCATAGGGCCAAAGTGCTGCTTGTTGTTGCTATTTTGAGATGATTGTGTCTGTGTCAGAATGGAAACGTGCTGGTCATAAGTTTGGTGTTACCAGTTTTTACTTCGTGGAAATCGAGTGCGATGCAGTCAGTATATAACCCAGGTAATACAGATGCAATTTTCTCCTACTCGAGACATTTTGTGATTCATTAGGGGTTTACTAGCATATTAGCTAGTATAGCTTTTTGATATTTTGTGCAGATTAGTATCTGTGTTTCTTCTAGTTACAGTGCATTTCTTTCACAGCTTAGAGTACAGCGACTGGAATGTTTTTGCTAGTGCTAAATGTCATCCATCTCACCCAGCGGTGCAATGAATGTATGTTTGAAAAGAACTAAATCATAACTCGGGCAGTGTTTGAATGTGAAAGCACTGATAAGATTTTTTAGTCCAAGCAAATGTTTGCAGGAACATTTTGGGTCTGTTTTTCTTGGTAGGCTGATGTATTTGAGGTCTGCTCTGTGCTGTCGATAAGCCTGTTTGTTTTGTAAGAAAGCCCAGTTCCTTCTCCCTGTTGCCAGGAATTGGGCACTAGATGTCTGGACTGTGAACTACTAGAGATGCCAGCACAGAATGGGTGGCATTGGGTGGGCTGAGTGATAGCAACCAAGATGGCAAAAATCCTTGTGATGGACAGATTGTGCATATATGCGTGTGTGTGTGTAGCTGTTCTCTCCCAATATATAGTCTTCAGGGTACTTGCCAAAGGCTTTGATCTCCATTTCGGTTTTAAATTGTCAGGCCACATTTATCCGAGCAACATCTTTGATAACTTCATGAAACTGAACCCAAATGCCTGTTGTTCTGAATGTTGAGGATCAGGAGACAAGAGCAGTCCACCTTGTTCAGTCCATTGACTGTAACCTGTTTCTTGATGTTCATCCGTTTTCGAACCCCTTCTTCCAATTCAGGGCTGCAAGGAAGCTGGAGCCTATCCCGGCAAGCAGCAGGCACAAAGTTTGGTCCATCCTGGACGGGACGCCAGTCCATCACGGCACACACGGATACACACACACACTCGCACAAAAGCCAGTTATTGAACACCAGTATTTACCCTTCTGTATCCAAGCACATTGGCCTCTAGCACCATCTGTATAGGAGCCATAGCCATATAGAGGACCCACTAGAACCGGTGAAAACTGCAGTGAAGAGTAAAATGTTTCCACAATGTGGATATTTCAAGCTGTGTGCGTTTCTTGTGGATGATGAAGAGTAAAGCTAAATGCAGGACTGCGGTGAACATACAGAAGGGTACCTCCGTGAATATGCCTGCAAGAAGCTGCGCTTAGAATAACTTGGCTGTGGGTGGGTGTGTTGAGACATGACCGCGCAGGGTGCAATTAAGAGATTTTACAGACTTCTCTGATTTTACAGAAAGAATGCTGGACAAATTGTTCCCGTGCAGTCGGTCTAGCTGCCTCTCGGAAACTGTGCAGAAAGAGAGGTTCCTGTCCCTAGAATATTGACATTTTCTTCCTTGTTTACATGAAGGAGGCCGTTACCTGGGCGCTAGCATCGATTGCCAGAACAGTGTGGAGTCCACTGTGAGTGTACAGTCTCCACTGGGGACAGTGGGGTGAAACAGGCAGCAGGGCTGGTATAGATCAACAGCCAGTCAACTGCATAGGAGAAACTGGAGTTCCCATGGTGCAGCCCAGACATTTACTGCACTTTCCCATACCTCTTTTATGAAAAACAGTTTGAAATGTCTTGGTGTATAAAACATGAATTTCTTAATTGAAGTCTTGTATTAACCTCATTCGCATTCACTTAATTCTGTGAGCAATGATTATATACTGTGTGTATATATATATGGGCATTTCAAAGTAATTATGAAGCTATTCATCAGAGTCAGAAGAAACTAAATCTTGTAGTGTTGTATCATTCCAGATAACTCTTATTAAACTTGTGCCAGCTTTGGAATCCTATCCTGTTTTATTAGATTAAGTAATTAAATGAGCTTGATGGCCCGATGTCCCTGGATATAGATTACAGACTCCAGACAAAAGGTCCATGAAAGATTCCATTATAACGGTGAGGGCAGTAAGAAGGAGTGTGGGTTTAGTGTTACACTGGTTATACTTTTGTTGTGCTACAGCATTGTATTTACATAAAATATCCAGTTTCACAAATGTTTATCAGGAGAAATATATGAAATAGGTATATGAATACATGTTCTAATGTGCCAATAAAGGTTTTGTCTGTCTTTCTTGGTTTTATTGTTATTGTATGATTGTTTTTTACTTTCTTTATCTAGAGCTCTGGACTGAAGCTGACCAACATCAGAGACATTCAGTGCAACTTCTTCTGCCTTTATAAATGCACCTTATGCAGAATTAACCTGGAGATTAAATCGGTAAGTTGACTGGCTGTAGGCTTTTATCCTGTAGTTTCATGTCGTCTTTGAAATTGTGGCTTCTGGCGTTTTCTTCTGTAATGCACCGACATGGAGAAGAGGGAGGGCATGAGGATTTTCGTCTCGTTCTGACAGATGTGGCCAGGTTTCATCTGAGACAGGAAGGAAGTATGTTTTGTCTTTTTTTTTAACTGTTCACTTTGTGGTAACCCCTCTGCTGCCATGGAAACCAGCCCAAGCCGTGAGGCAGAGCGGAGACAGCCGAGTCACGCGTGTTCCCACTTGTACCAGGTGGTTCTGCACTTGCCCCCAACCCTCGCAGCCGAGCTTCTGAATGGAGCTGGATGTGTTGCAGCTTAGGTTGGGTTGGTCACGTGTGACTGCGGTTATGTTTCTTGAGTTAGTCCTGCAGTTGAAGAACAAATGCTCTTTGATGTATAGGAATTGTAAGTTCACACTGACCTACATTTCAGAATCTTAGGTTGGAGGTGTGGTGGCTGTGGTGTTCAGGCTGGCTGTGTGAATGCTTTTGTTTCTCACAATGGTGTCCTGTTCTCAACCCCTCCTCCCCTCCTTACACCCTTGCTGTGTTAATTATACTTGATTCTTTAAACTGTTGATGACTGTAATTAACAGGGTCTGAGCTTTGGGAATGCTTATGAAATTCCTTTCCATGTGTTGTGCTTATAGGGTATGGGGTCCAAGTTAGTCACAGTCATAAAAGCTGCTAGTGTTATTTATACTCTGAGCAGATGATGTAGATGAACTTGCAGTTCATTCTTCTGCAGTTGAACAGATGGTCAGATCTCGCAGCTCAGGGTGTGGGAGATTACAGCAAAGGTACAGTGACACAACTCTCTGTGCTCTGGTGTGTTGGATGAGCTTCAATTTTGAACACACCAGAGTTCACTACAGTAAACCTTCAAAATGGCAAAATGGACAGATGTCAGGAAGCAAGCATGACAAATGACCTTGAATCTGTTGTTTTGCCTTAAAGCGCCTTGTTTTTTTTAACAAACCTTAAGAAGTTTCATGAAGATCAGATCATCAATTTAACTTTTCTATTCATACATCCCTGAAATGTTCATGGCAAACCATTTCTTCCCTAGGCAATAAGAGTTTAAATTGTTCTTTGCCTGTATGTTTTAAACTACAAAACCACTTTATCCACCAATGACTGTGACTTAGTGTATTTCTAAGCAAATAAAACCTCAGTTCTAAATGAAGTATGTTTCACTATCACAAAAACCTAAAAAATTAAAACAAAGCTTAAATCTGTTAAGTTTGCAAGGACACAAGTACAGAAGTTTTCAGCTTTATATAGCTTTATATTTCAGCTTATTATACACCTCTGGTATTCTGATCCTTTTGTTTTGGTCAGTTCCTTATTTTTCTTCATCCCAAGTTTGTAGTCTTTAGCCATTCATTTTTCATCTGGTTCTCATTATTGCATTTGTCCCAGATTATCTTGGTTTATGAGTGCACATTCCACCTGTGGTCCAGTGGCTATTCCTGATTATGTTATCCTGCTTTTCAGCTATTTCTAAGGTGTCACGTACAACAGAGGGTGTCCTGTTTAAAATTTCCCCCAGCCAGGTCAGGAGCAATGATTCCAGGCCAGACTCAGAATCTGCCATTTCAAAATACTTCACATATAGGAGGAGACTCGCATCATCTAGCACTGAAGTGCTGCTGGACCTGAGAGACACACAGCAGCCATTCTTCACCAGCAGCTCTGGTGGGGAAGTGAGAAACTACTACCCCAGTTGAGTTAAGGGGAAACCTTATAGTGGCTAGAATTTACAAACGCAGAGTGTAATTGAGCCAGGGTATCTCATGTTATCACCCCTGCTCTTATGAATGGTCATGTCAGGCCATTTTGGGGCATCAACCTCTCTTACGGTAGGAATCCCATTTTCTTCCCTAGTACTAACCAGGTCCATCCTTAATAGGACCAGGCTACAGGGTGTGGGAGATGCCTATAAAATCCTTTTTTCTTCAAGCAGCCAGATTAAGTTATGCACTATGATCTTCATATATAACAAGTAGTCTGTAGGCCTTGTTTGTTGCTTTCTTGCAGTCTCCATAGTAACATAACATACAAAAATAACCTTTAAATTGATGTAAAGCAGGAGAAAAAGATGATTAAGAAATGCTTTTGTTTTCCTTAAAGGTTTGCTATCTGGTATTTACTGTAGTGATATCGAGCACATTTATGGTAACCTGAGTGCTTAAACGCTTACCATCCTTAAGTTTTCCCACAAATCCCTGTGTTCATGGGCACGCTCTTCGGCTTGCCTTTAAAATCCACAGTGTGTGTTCTGTTCCCCCACACTGAACACGGTGGATTAAGTCAGACAAGCCTGACAAGTGTGGCAGTATTTCTTTCAGAATACATTGATATTCATATCTCCAATAGATGCCAATCTGTATCTCATTGTTTCTTCCTATCGTGATGGAGTGTTATATCTAAGAAGAGCCTTTGCATAACATTTTTAATGGTCGTGTTTGCTGCAGTGTAACACAGCAAGATAAATATGTATGACTTTGTCTCCCTAACCTCTTGCATCCTGGAAGAATATTTTTTCTGTCCCTTGCTTTTGAGTTTTTTTAACACTGCTCCCCATCGTCCTTCAGTTGTGAGACAGTAATCGTGTTGCATCTGCATGTTTTGAGAGTGGTCTATTGCAAAGATGTCTGTGCACCTCCCCCAGCTTTTAACAGGTGGTTGTAAGAAGGTCTGGAGGAGTCCAGAAGCCAGGGTTTTCTCGCCCCTGATTTTTATGTTTTAGTGTCCAGTTTCCTGTTATTTATTTTCTTACCCCTTGATCACTCCTTCTCCTTCATTCTGGTCTCTCCCTCCTCCCTGCTCCCGAGTCTCTGTGAAACAGACAGCCCTTGGGAGATCAGGCATACAGTATATCCTCGCAGCGCCTCGGTCTTTTCACTCTTGAGATCTGGACGGGGCGTGCGAATGAGCCAAGCCGAGAAGCAGCAGGCTCTCGCAGGCCTGGCCCTGTTGGCAGCACCCCCTCCTCTGCACCCGGGGCTTTCCCTGGGATTTGTCCCAGCTACTGTAGCTGCCTGCAGTTGTGAACACTTGACACTGTACTGCTGAAGCACTCTCCAGCATTGAGGAGTCTCTGAGAATCCTCACATCTCCCGAGTTCTTTATAGGCAGCTTTGTTTGGTACAGCACTTCTGACAAATCCCCCAAAACAGCGTACGGGTAAGTTTGTCTTTCAAGCACCATAAATGATGCTCTTTTTACAGGCTGAAATGAAAACCCTCTCACCACGTCTATTGCAGAACGCCACATTTGTTACAGTAAAGGATAATTCTTGAGGAACGTTTGGTGTTCCGAAGGCCAAACCTTTGTTCTGTTAAGAGTTTTCAAATTTCCTCAACAGCACTGCGGCGCCTGTGGAAAAATCGTTTATGCAAGATCAGCTCAGAGATTCCATCAACTTGTGCCTAAGAAGAGAGTTTAGTTGTAAGCATGAGGAAAGGTTGCAGGAGATGCGGATATTCAGGTTATTGCTGTTTGTCAAATGGCAAAGGTTTGACATGTGAGACAGATACAGTATCTGGGAGGTGGAAGTGGGGAGGAGGAACTGAGATTTGGTGGCTGTGGTGTCAGTGAGCTGTTCCAGTTGTGAGATATGGATATGATCTCTGTAACTGAGCAGTGCACTGCCACAGACTTAGCCATATGGAACTCAGCACTGGCTTTGTGTGAGTTTCACTGTTTGCCAAAGCCACTAAGTTATGTAAAGAGGATTTAGCGCAGCCATTCAGTACAGATAAAGGGGACTGGGAAAAGAGAATAAATATTTGGAACCTCTCTCTCAATGTGTATGTACATAAGAGAGTATAGAGCTGGCTTAATTGCTGTCATCCACTCTCCTGGTGTACAACTGCATCACACCTGCCTGGCCTTAACCCCTTTGTAAATCATATACCAGGGGTCAGTAGGTATTGGAGAGCATTGCCCTGGAGCTAGGCTACTATAGAATGTATAATGTACTGTATGGAGCAAATATCCTATGTTTGGAACAGTGTAACGAAAGGTAACAAAAGCAACACAAAAAGAAAATGATTGAAAGATTTTTGTTTTGTCTATTTGCAAAATGCAGGTGTGCCTTTACTGAATAGTAATGTGAGGTGAAGAATGCCACAAACTAAAATGAGCAGCTTAGATGCAGAGGTAGCTCATCATATCACTTTCAATAACCATTTATCCAATTCAGTGTTACAGCGGTCCAGCACAGCTCCACAAGATGAGGCCTTGCCAGTTAACAGTTAGAGAACCTCTGCTCACACTATTGCATGCTATTAGTATGTAGAATAGAACAGGGATTTTCGCAGCATCCAGCTCCGGAGCAGATGAGTTCCAGAAGTCTGGTGAGAATGAGCAGGGTTGTTTCTGTTGGACTTGTCTGCTGGAGGCACCTCTGCCCTCTCAGTTGTGGTGATTGTGTGGAATGTGGACTCAGTCGTACGTAGAAACTCAGCTGAGGGTCTTGTTTATTTTTTTTTATTGTTCTTTTCCATAGGGACAAATCCTACGTCTGTGCAGCCAGAAATTCCTAAATTGCATATAACTCTTTGGTTGAAGATTTCATCAAAAACCAGAATGCATGGAATCACTTAGGACGTTTCTAAGCAATATGTCTAATGTTTTTGGAATCCATCCCTTCCTCTTCCATTACATCACTTTTCCACTATTCCCCTCTCCCGCCCCCCCGCGCCGTCTCAGCCAGTATCTTTTTAGCTTTTTCATTCATCGTCTCCTGTCCCCTTTCTTCCTTCATCTTCTCGCTCTCCCTCCATCTTCTCCTGCCTCTCTCGTGTTCCTCTGTTGTACTAATGGTCTACCTGCTGCCTGGAGAGCTGTGTAATGAGATGCAGTTGGAACTTCTGAGCCTTCAGCTCACGAGGAAATGAATTTTCCAACACCTCTTCTTTGCCATCCACTGGCTTATCATTATGCTCTCAAA